ATATATACACACACACACACATAAAGTCAAGTGATTATGATTATAGTGCTGGCTTTGAAGTTGGATTTTCTGGTCAAATACCAACTCCTCATCTCTCCATCTGTACAACTCATACAAATAATACCTGTCTCATCCACAGTATAGTGAACAAGAATGTGTCTAAGTGTACCCAGAATTGTGCTTAGTCAGAAAGGGCAACTGGTCAAAGGAAACATGAGAAGACAGTGCTGGTCAGGCAGCAACTTCTGTTCAGAACCTAAATAATTCCTGATGCCCACAGTTGATTCTTGACTACTTTAAATCATAAGCACACCATTGCAACTGCTGTGTACATGTGTGTATGTGTATGTTGGTATGTACACGCATGGGGGGGTAGGTGGTATCACAGACTGTACAAACTAACCTATGACATGACATTGACTGCCTCTGCCTTGACAAATCTTTCTCACATAGTAAGGAATAACACATACAAGTGAAAAACAACTAATTTTATAAATAACAAAAACTCTAATGCTGGGCTGAAGATGTAGCTGAGTTGATAGAGTGTTTGTGTAGCATACAGAAAGCCCTGGGTTAGATCCCCAGTGCTACACAAAGTAGATGTGGTGGCATATGCCCATAATCCAAGCATGAGGGAGTTAGAGGCAGGAAGATCAGAAATTTAAGGTCATCCTTGGCTACATATCAAGTTTGAGGCCAGCCTGAGCTACACGAAACTGTCTCTTAAAAATTTATTTAAACCCTCTATCACTGTTTTCAATTGTTCACACATTAAGCTATTAGCTAATTCTGTAAATATGTTTACATGTCTATTTCATGGTGGACACTGTTTAAGGGATTGGAGATGTAGTGGCCTATGAAAAACATAAATATTTTTATGTGCTTTTCTACAAGGGTGTGAATAATGTTGAGGTAGAAAAAAAAGAGATCATGAAAAATAAACAGACATAATTACATTGGGCAATGTACTATAAAATATTATGAGAGTTGATGGAATGGAAAGGATGATAAGGAAACACATCTTCGACAAGTAAGCAACTGAGGTGAGACCTGATTGCTCCTGGATCAAGCCAAGTGGGGCCAAGCAAATGATGGCTGTGGTGAATGCCAGAGGAGCCTGAGAACAGAATGCATGAGCTCTATGGATCTTAGAAACCAGGGAGACTGTTTAAGAATTTAATTCTAAGTTCAGTGCAATACCTTTGGAGATTTGAACATGCAAGTACCAGAATCTGGTGGAAAGAGCTTTTCAACTCTCTTTGACTGTGGTATAGAGAAAGGATTGCAGGGGTCTGTATTAGTCACTTTTCTGTTGCTGGGATAGAAACACTGACCCAACCAATTTATAGAAGGAAGAGCTTATTTGAACTTACAGTTCCAGGGGAATTACAGTCCATCTTGGCAGGGAGGCATGGTGGCAGAGGTGGCTGGAAGAGGAGAGGAAGCTAAGCTCTCACATCATCACACAGGCACAGGAAGCAAGAGAGCAACTGGAGATCTAACAAGGCTTAAGAACTCTCTAAGCCCACCCCCAGTGACGTGCTTCCTCCAGGATAGCCACACCTTCTAAAACAACCCAAAGCAGCACCATCATCTGGAGACAAAATGTCCAAATACTTGAGCCTATGGGGGACATTTTCATTCAAAGCATCACAGGTCCTGAATGGAAAAGGGGGTGGCAGAGGTAGAAGAACAGTGGTGGAGGGTACAGTTGAGAGAGAGACAAATAGAAAGAGAAGAGGCACATGTACATCTAAGATTTGCTAAGTGTTGGAATATGGGGGTAGCGTAAAGGACAGGGATGGAGGATGGTTTTGGTAGCTGGGTAGTACAACTTCCTGTCATAAGAGTGGAGAAGGAATATTCCAGAAGCAGTGGGTTCAGGGAGACAGCATTGCATGAGACAACTAAGCGTAGATGTCAGGACAGCAGGGGGAGAAAGGAGTAAAACTACAGCAGACAGCTGAGGGCAGCACCATTTTCTCATCCTCCTTCTCATCTACTATTTTACTAATATGTTAAAATTCTGCTGTATGGATGTGTCATAGGGACAAAATATTCATAGCACTCTCATTGGCCCTCCCCTGTCTTGCCTATACTTTAGAAATAGGCCACTTCATCCCATTTTATAGGACCTAAGCTTTCTACTCCACAGTAGGCATCACAACACTTCTTGCCCACTTGGTCACATCCCATTTCTACAGAGTAGAGT